TGCGTAACTCATCAAGAGCTTCTCTCCAACGCATATCAGCGTATCTGACATGTTCCAGACGAGCGCTGAACGTGTTTCTAACGTCCAGCTACCGTTTAATGGCGTATTGGCAGCGTTTTGGTATAAAGGGGGTTCCCAGGAGGAAACCGTCGGTTCTCCTCCAGACTTCATCCCCATCATAGGGTGAGCCAGAAGGTGAGTGATGGATCCTTCCTGCGTCCATGACAACGGCCAACAAACTTCATAGCAGAAATGACGCTGTATCTGCTGCGACTGCAAAACCCTCTTTCTTTTTTCTTTTTCTTTGGGCGGGCGGTAAACAGCAGCTAGGTTAATACAGCGATCAAAGACATCTTTTTATGCAGACCAGGTGCATTGTTGCCCCCCTCAAGACACTGGCTTGTGCATCATTTCATGGGCATTATGCTGCCGTGCTTTATGTATAAATTAGGCTGTCGTTGGACATGAGATCTGGACTCGTTATGAATATGCTATGTATACGCCCAAGATTGAAAAAAAAATCATAGAAAGTTCAGCGTCTGTCAGCGTTCTAGAGCATACGCTGGCTGAATCAGCAAGGTGTGACAGGGTCCCAAGGTAACAGCAGAGATTCAAGGTCCTCCATTTTTAAACAAACTTTATTCCATAGCAGGACTTTTTATTTGTTTTGATTTTTGGAGCAGCATTCCATCAGTACGGCAGAAAGAAACCATAAGTGTTTCTCCCAGTGGCTGTTTTGTACCTCATCTGGGCTAGATGCCTGGTAGACCCTGCATGTGTCCTCGTAGTGCTGCTCCGCCTCGGCCTGGTCGGTCACACCGTTGGACTCGTACACCGGGGTGACGTTGTGCACCAGGGCGATGGCTTTCACGGCCTCGTGAACTCGGCTACTGATGGTCTTTCGTACCTTGGTGGCTGCAGGAGCTCTGGAGGCCGGTAGGTCATGGGTGGGCTGGGGACAAACGCAGAATGCAACATCATTAAAACAACAAAAGTAGTCCATTTTAAAAATAAAATAAAACATAAGCACTCTGGAGAAATGTAACTCTCTGCATTTAACCCATCCCCTTGGGATGTGGGGATCAAACCGGGTCCTTGCAACCTTCTCAGAGCACAAGTGCACTGCTCTAACCACTAGACAAACACTCCCCCAAAACCAATACAAGCTACCTGGTTCATGCTCTGTCATAGCCATTCAGCACTGTTCATTTGAGTCACTAATTTAGTGCTACTTGGTCCCAATATAATTTCCCATTGAGAACCTGCTAGCACTAAGCTGCTAACTGGTTAGCAAGATGCTTCCCAGACAACGGCCACAACCAACTTGCTTGCGAATCTTCCGCCACAACAATCCCGCCCCCTTGATAAACAACCTATCTCATTAGTTTATTCACTGGTGTAAAGTTGTGCACCACTCGGGAGAATTCGGAAATGCAACCGTTGGAACGGCCGATTCCTCACGACTTTAAATATCAAACAATCATTCCAGCCACTGACTAAGGTAAACATGCCCACTGTCATATTCAATACCAGCACAGGAATGACAGGTGATGTTAAGCAGGAACTATATATCAGGAACGAGCACAGCACTAATATCTGCTGGGATGGTGATGTCATCGGCATTAATTCAGTAAAAATAATTGTATCATTAAAAACAAATCAGCACAAAGGACAGTTCTACCACTGAAAAAGTATCCGGAGCTTAATGGGGGGATAGTTGACCTCTGGGTGACCTAAAAAATAATCTTAGAGTTTATTTTGGTCTCTTAAGTGGTGACATGTAAGGGATTATTGTAATATTATCTCTGACTCATTTTTCATGTGATTAAATCAAATGAAATCTAAGGCGCCTCCTATTTATTCGGAGCAGCTGTCTGAACTTTGGTCCTATCCAAGATGGCCGCCCTTTAGGCACGTCAGCCAGCGTCCAATGAGGTGTCTACGGAAGAGGATTAGGGTCACTGGACATAAAAAAAAAAGTTAATTGATTTTTAAATTTTATTTCAGGTTAACATGGGAAAAAAAGTCAGAATTCTGACTTTAATCTCAGAATTTTTGATTTTAATGTAGATGGGAACCATGAAGGAAGAGATGTGGAGCACTCTGCTTTGCTGACAAAGATGTGAGTTGTTTGAGGTGGCCAGTGACACATTGGTGGAAAATGATGGAATTAGGCAACTTTTTACGTTCCCGAGGGGTCCCCCTTATTAATGGAGGAGCAGAAGGTCATTAAAACAAGAGCTAGTCTCTAAAACAGACATGGCTATGGCTTGATGCTAACATGTTTGTTAGCTGTCAGAATTCTGAGAAAAAAGTCAAAATTCTGAGATTAAAGTCAGAATTCTGACTTTTTTTCCATATTAAACTGAAATAAAATAAAAAAATCAGTTAATTTCCTCATAAATCATCCTCTTCCGTAGGCGTCTGCGTATATAATTTCTATGGTGGAAACAGATTCACATCCTGTGAAGTAGCTGCCTCAATTGTCCCCATTTATTGTCCCATTTTGCGGTACTGCCAGCAGATGGCGCCCTGTCTGCTTATCGTGCTGCAATTCTGTTGAGACTAAGAAAAAAAATAAACTACTTTAACACTGTCAGGACAAATGCTTTGTGTATATCACCTTTATTTACCAGAATCAAATGGTTTTTGGTCTTTTATTTGGCTGAAACAATGAACTGAAATAATCGTCAACTAATTTAGTAATCGATTAATCGTTAAAGAGGTATAGAGACTGTAAAACACACTGGAAAAAACGAAACTGGATAAGTAATTTTTTCTTAAAATAAGTGCATTTGTTCTTGGATGAGGAGGTAAAAGAGACATTTTGCCGATGGAACAAGACTATTTACACTTAAGATAAGAAAACACAATTGCGTTGTCTTATTTCAGGTGCTTATTATCAGATTATCTTATTTTAAGAGTAAAAATACTCATTCCATTGGCAAACTATCTCATTTACTGACTCAAATTAACGGTAAATACACATAATTTAACACAATTTTACTTATTTCTAGATCGTTTTTCCATTGTATGCCTTAAGCTGACAGAGCGACCCGCTTAGAGCAGAAACATTGTAAAAAATAAGTAAATATTTTGCATTTAAGACAAAAAAAAAACTTTTTCGTCTGTCAATCTGCTCTATCCAGAACTCCTCAGGTGGAAAATTTCAGTTACACCTCGTTTTTCATATTCAATTTCATAAAAAAATCCTCTTTAAAGATCCTTTTGCTATTTTAGTAATTGAAAAAAATTATCGACGGATTAATGGATTTGCAAAATAATCGTCAGTTGCAGGCCTAGTGTAGGCGTATAACGCGACTCTTCCCCTTTGAACGATACGACCTAATCACGTTTCAGTAAAACTTTTCCACAGCATAAAGTCAAATAAAATGCTTTAATTATGCTGTACATTCATTTTATTGGGTCTTATAGGCAATACGTATGTATCTATAGTTTAACCTGGTCTTTAACAAAGTCTCTGATTCCTGCCAAAGTGTTTCTAAAAAAGGAGCAGAGATCTTTCAGTCTCTGCTCAGATAGGGCTTCTGTAAACATAACCAGATGTGTCGAGTAAATATAAATGATTTTTGCATCGTGGTGGAGTTATTTTTAGAAGGCCGTGTGCTCCAAGGGTTAATGACGGCGTCATTAAAGAAGTCCTGTCAGCGCTTCGCTTGTGGGCTGATCCTGTTTCCTGCTTCACTAACCTCTGGTGTCAAGGGGACAAAGAGTGTCATATGAGATCAGGAAGCGTTCAGCCAAACTCAACTCTTCCTAAACATAATGCTTTTTTTTTATATATATTTTCCTCCTTTCTGATCATTTTCAGTGTTTTTCTCTCTTACCTGCGTGTATGCACTAAACACATGGCTCTGTACTTCGTCCATAGAGTCCATCCCATACGCCACAGTCCCAAGGTGGAGACGCCTGAACACCATTTCATTCTGGGTAAGGGTGCCTGGTAAAAAAAACAAACAAACAAGGTTGGTATGGAGTGCATTTTGTTCCATTATTGTTGCACGAAAAGAATGTTTCGTTAATGGAAATCTGGAAAAAAAAAAAACTAGTTCAGAAATTAAACTTAAAAAAAACAAACAAACAAGGTTGGTATGGAGTGCATTTTGTTCCATT